CATTCCTGTACTAGGATGGCATCTCCCCATCTTTTGTGAAAGGCTGGCAGATGGTACACGGTTAGAAACTGATCTCAAAAACTGAAAGGGGAGTGAGGTTGTGTCAGGGTGTCAGGCTGAATTTTTATATTCATATTTAGGCTGATACATTGGAAAAAGAAGCATATGAGAACTGAAGTCACAAGTAGAGGCTGGTTGGTTGGTTTGTTTGCTTTTTGATAGGCTAAAAGCCTTTTCCTAAGTATCTCTTGATTGTTAGAACTTTAGGTAGAGATTATCCTGATTTTGTTCCATTCCTTCTGTAAATGACAGACAATGGATGACAGTAGTGTGGGGCTGTTTACTTCACCACGAAGTACAAAGGAATATTGTGCTCATCAGATTGAATGCAAAATCTGCATGTCCTGAAGCCTGCCTTGTCTTGCATAATAAAGGGCTTCCAGACAATTGTATCGTCCCTCTTTGGGATTGGTCTTATTTTTATCCATCAGGCCCTTTCTTCACTGTCATGGCCAAATTTGGAAGTGTCACTGGAAGGTGCAACTAGGCATTTGAGGGCAGAATATGGAGATATGTATAGATCGCTTCTTCTTTTTCATTTGGACACATGGACAAGAGAATGAAAATGAGGTAACACTATGAATTTGTGTCACTTTCCTGTCTTTGTGGTTTTCAACAGTTTGAGCAGTGTTTAGTCTTAAACTCTGATTGGTACTTTGACTGTGTAGATCCTCAGACTCTTTAATTTTCTTGGTTTTAAAGCATCACAAACAAAAAGGTGTTTTTAAAGCATCGCAAAAAAGAGGTAAAACTCTTTTTGCTTCCTAAGCAGGAATACAGAAGCATAGCAAACATTTTCCCCAGCAAAAAAGTAAGCTGTAAAGAAGCCAGAAGGGGAACTTGCTCCCATATGTGATGGGCAGAATCAAGCATAAACTTGCATCAGGCCTGGATCAAAGAATACGAGTGCACTGAGCATGGGGCTGTTGTGCACACTGAATCTAGGACAGTGCGTATTTTCTCTGCTGATCTGCTGCTGCCAGCCCACTCTCATCAACACAGCAGATGTTGTGTCATATCAAGTGTGGTTCACCTGCTACAGGTAGCTGATGTTACTTTTTCTCAGCCTCTCCAGCACTGATTGTTTGGTTTTTGATGTGTGCTAATTAAGTGACACCACCATTAAAAACAACACTACATGAAAACCACAGAAAGAATTTCACTGACTTCGATCCCTGATCGGTTCCCATGTGTTGCCTGAGCTAGTTGGGAGGTGTCTCTGCCCATGACAGGGAGGTTGGATTAAATGATCTCTAAGGCCCCTTCCAGCCTAGGCCATTCAGTGATATGATTCCATGATATGACATGATTTCTGTGGTTACTGCTGTATTTATTGTATCTTATTTTCTTAGTGTATAAACATCGGCGTGCTGTGTATGCATTTCATTGATTAGATATGACCTTGTATAATACCTCTCATTTCTGTTTTTTGAAATAGGCACCTAAATTGTACAGTTCAAGGAGCTCAAAAATTTGAATGTATTAAAGGATACTTCTTATTTAGTGTCATGAATTTAAGAGCGCTCATGTCTATGTCTTGGCATGTTGTCCCTATTTTAATAGTATTTATATATAAAACATCCCTCAATGTAACAAGAGTTTCTTGGGCTGTAGAAGAATATAAAAAAAAGAAAAACATAAATATCTTTTGTCAGAGAAAAGTAACTTTCCTTAGTGAGCTCAATATTATAAATTTGTTGTTTTACTGAATAGAAAATACATACCCTAAGTAATGATGTGATATTCTTGTTCCTTGTATACTAGTGAACAAGCAAAAGACAACTGGATGTTTCAGAAAGTTCTGGAATGTGGCAGTTGGGGAAAAGATAAAGCCTTGCTTAACTGATACTGTTCCAGTTAAAGGAAGACTTTTTAGATGGTGTAGGTAAACAAAAGATCATGATGTAGCAAAATTTTAAGGTCAGATGAGTACCAAACCCAGATTTGTGCTAATTATTACATTAGATGTCCTTTTTCCTCAAAGTAAGATACCATTTCTGTACTTCTGCTTACAATTTTGGGGGTATTGGACTTTCATTTCAAAATCTGATGGAGATAGATTAGGAAGCAAGTCATCCCTCGGTGGTATTTACATAATGCCAGTAAAACCATGGGTGATACTAAAAGCAGCTAATAACTCATATTTAGGGTTTGTTTTTAGTGTCTTTGCTTCACCTGTTTCATGCTACTTGTGCTACTTCCTTGGACAGAGACGTAAACAGGATGCATGGCAGTTATCAAGGCTTTTGCAACCTTGGGGTGTCGGCTTCTGTTTTAAATACTAATTAAGTAAACACAGTCCGTGTTTTTTTAGTACATGCTGTGTGATCACACCAAGTGCAACACGAATGTCACTGCAACATAGACAGTGCATGTTCCTGGAAGCTGCTGTAGCATTTATGTGCATCAACATGTTATGTTCTTGCTATTACCTTGCACTGTCACGAACTGACTATAGGTACAAAGAAATAGTCACATATTGCTTAAGCTAAGTCTGCCTTTTCAGTTCAGCAGCTCACATTTGAAGGGATTTTGAGCCCAATTTGGGCAACAACTGCACTTGTTTTGGGGCACTAAGTGCATAGGCAGGTGAGGAGTGAGAACTTCCCTGTCCTCTGGAGCTGGCTGGTATTTTGACCGTACACAGCAATGGTTAACTAATCTAACAAAACTTTCTATCTTCAAGCACTTTTCTGTGCTTGAATAACTTTACAGTATTTACTTGCCTCTAGATTCTTGTGTGTATTTACTTACTCTGTTATCATCACGGAGATGCCTCCTTGCAGACAGGCGAGGACTTTCTCAGAAAAATATCTGAATTCTGACAGTGGGACATGGAGGAAAGCAATGCAAAGTATTTGACTTTAAAAGCATTCTTTAGTCCTTGGGGATATGGAAGATCCAGGATTTGTGGAAGAGGAAACACGGGAGAGAGAGGACATGACAAAGGAAGAACAGAGGACAAAGCAGAAAACAAAAAAAACACTGAAGGGAGAAAAATAAACAAAAGTGGGTGGATGTACCTTAGGAGAGGAGACAAACTAGGAGAAAGTACATTTGGTATGTGCTTAGTGATGCAGTTCTGTGGAGCAGTTTGCAGACTGAGCTGTTCAGCAAGGCCTTGTTTAGAGGCAAAGATGTTTTTAAGAAATAGTTGACAAGCCAAGCAAGCCATCTACCCCTCCACCCTGCTTTGAGCAAAGTTTTTTGATTGTAACCCTTCCTCCAAGAGGTCACTGCATCAGGTTAGCCCTTTTTTTGTCAGAGTGTATGCTGAACCCTGAAAGAAGTGGTCGCTGAGTGGAAATGAAGAGTTACTGACCAGAGAAAACGGAGAGCAGAAGGCAAGCATAGCTGGAATAGAACAGCAAGGAAAAAGACTAAAGAAATATGAGAGCAATTATTTGTATAGCTGTTGGTTCACAGAGGTTTAAATTAAGCAAGTACTGAAATTTTGACAGGTACTTGCCCAGGGATTGTGATATGAAGAAGGAATAAGGAGGGGGTAGAAGCATTATCCTATGTTTTAAGTATCGCATAGTAGAACTGGAACACTCAACAGATTCTTTCATTCTTCTGAAAGAGAAGTGACAAAGGCATCTTGGGCGGCTTGCGTAAATGTAGACAACAGGCAAGTTTAGCACTGTTGCAAGAGACAAGTACCAGTCTGGCTTTGTGCATACTTAATCCTGCATGTACGTCCCATTATGATGTAAACTTATGTTTGTTTGTCTGTGAAATATGTAAGTGCCATGCGTGATTCTCCAGCTGCAACCCATTGGTCTGAATTTGTAGGTCTTTCTTGGAGGGGAAAAAAATTCCTCACTTCAAAGCATTGCTTAAGAATGTGTTTATAATATTCTAAAAATAAGGAACTTGGTCATAACTTCCATACAGACCTCCACAAACAGCACTTTAAACAATACTGCTAATGTTTTGGAGGCATAAAGGGTCTTGGTAGTTGCTGGTATTCAGCTGTTCACCTCATTAAAAATGAATGATTGTGGGTAAAGGGTATGGATTTATGAATTCACTGTCTGGTGCCTTAGTAACCTCTAAACAATCAGAGTGATTATTCATTTCGTTATCAGGAAGATGGAAGCTTGTATGTAATCTCTTTATCCAGATGCAGGGGAGGAGCTGCAATGAAACTATCAAAGAAACTGTTCAACCCTGGAAACAAACACACACAAGCAAATTTGAGTCATTTCCCCATCTAGTTTCTGTATTTTCTCTATTCTCAAAAAATTGAGTGGGAGGTTTTTGTTTGTACCCAGATAGCGAAACAAAAAACCAGTAATACATAATTATGAAACTTCAGATTATCAGAATATGAAGCTTTCTGTATAATGTTTTCAAAGTGTAAAATGATACTATGTGTAGGTAGGGCTGGTTGCCCAGTGGTTTTCCATTAAGCGGTTTTAGGGCTTTCCTTTTAAATGATTGCTCAGGGCTTTGTTGTTCTTTGCCTGAAAGGTTCTTTATCAGATGTCTGCTCTGTGACAGGTTTTACAATGTTGAGAAAATCTGTCAGTACTATGCAAAGGCTACACAATATAAAATATCTATCTTTACTCATTCTTCTCAATACAAGTAGTTTTCCTGTTCATTTTTCTCTTACCCAAAGAAGTATATATTCTTACATTGCCACCATAGTTGTGTTAGTTTGGCTGCTAAAACCTGAAAGTGCTACTGCTTTAGGCTGCAGAGGCTATTGACATTGTCTGTCATGGTGAGGACTGGAGACTCTAGGATGCAGCCACAGATGGATATAAGATGCTGAGCTTCATCTCTTCCAGCCTCTGTTTGGTGTCAAAGAGAGTTTTTAGATGCTGCTTAAGACTCTTAATTTAGTAAAGAATCTCAAAATCTGTCAGTTTTCATACAGCTTCATTTGTTACTGAATAACAAAACAAACCCAAATGTGTTCTAAGGTCAATGTAATAAATATTCTCAAATTTACCCATATCCTGGTATATCTAGCATGAGAATGGAAGTTCAGTAAAATTAGCTATGATTGATTTGTCCCCAGCACAAAACAATGTGTAAAGCTAAGCAGTAACAGCTGTGTTTCCAAGATTGTGTCATTCTATCTTTCTGTTCAGAATTAATCACTCATTTTAGGTTCCTAGTTTGCAGATATTAAGAAGTTAGGTAAGAAAAAAAAATCATAATGTGGATGTCTTCTTCTAAGAACTTGTTTAAATTCTTTGTAATCAGGAAGAGAAATTAGTACTTCTCCAGACTGACTCATTTCAGATGATTGCTACAGAAGGATGTTTCTCAGGGTTGATCAGAAGAGAGGCTGGGTGAGCAGTCAGGTCAGGTAGTTACAGCTGACCTTGCAGATACTTATTTACATGCTGAGGGAAGTGATTCCTACTGTTTGCCTGACTATTTTCCTTACTAAGTGTATTGATGAGATGAGTAAGAGGCATCTGTTGCAAAGAGTGCCTTAAAGTGAGACATACAATTATTACAAATATGTTTTACAAATTTCTGCAGATAGATAAAATAATGAATGTAGATGCTTCAAAGCAGCCTTGCTATTTACCTATCAAGACCTGTAACACTGGAACACCTACGTGAATGCAGTTTCACAGCTTTGCTTTGGCTCTTCTAATGTCAGTTCTACAACTGCTGTAAGAGAAATACAGCTGTGAAATGAATGTTTGTTTGCTTTGGAGGTCCTTATTTTTAAATGCAAACTGAAATTCTGCTTTGTTTATCTTCAAGGTAAACACATATTTTCTAAGTTCTGTTTAAGGAACCTTGCCTAGAATATGTTAATTTCAGTTTCTTTTGAGAACTTTCTCAAATTTTGATTAAACTTGTGAATTTTTGTATTTTCCACAACAGAGAGTTTGGGAAGTGGGGAACAATTCTGTGATTGCAAGAGTTTAAAAGGAGAGCTGACAGTGCTCTGGAAGAATGTAGAAAAGTAGCACATGTTGGTGAATGAATATAAACCAGGATAACTTTTTCTCTTACATGCCTCTACCTCTCCCAGCTCAAATCCAGTCTGTTGTCTCTACCGGTACCTATATCACTTCTATTAATGCCAATGGAAATTAAACACCTCTATAATCTCTATCAATTATAAACTGGTCGTTGATCTTCCTAAAAACATGAAGGTTAACAGTTCAGCCCAAAAATGTTCTTAGGTACTGTTGAGCTTCCATTATAGTTGGCTGTCTCTTCTGGCTCTGTGTTGCTGTATTTTTGTTTATTTTTGTATTCTAGTATTAACTTGAAAATAACTTTTTTTTTTTCCTCCACTTTTAAGGAGCTCTACCATGTACCAAATGGCATGTCGCCAGGGAAGCTGTCTCATGGGATGGTCTATGGTGTTGTGCACCGAACTGACAACAACCATAAGAGAGAAATGGTGGTTTATGGCTGGTCAGCTGATCAGCTGAAAGAGGAGATGAATTACATTAAAGAAGTGAGTTATGCTTTCGGCTTCAAAATTTCTCAAAAATCTTTTCATGAAGAGCTGTGAGTGTGTGTGAGATGACTGATTTCTAGCCCAACACCTGAATCTGAATTGGGAACCTACTCTGAAGCTAAAGGCTTGCCTTTTTACTATTCAAGCTGGAAAAAACATGCTGTATACCTGGGAACTGTGTGATCCAGACTCAAGGCCTTTGCACCAAGCGATACTTGTTAATGCTTGCTGAGCTGCTGGGGCTGGGCAAGCAAACTTTCAAACGGATCTCGGGGCTCCTGTCCTGAAGTCTACATAATTTCAAACTTGATACAGAATAAACTATATATGCAGACACCTGAACGGATAAACTCTCTCTTTTCCTCTGCATCCCCTGTTTCCCAGCCTCCCTGTTTTGAAAAGGCTCCTAAATTAGGTGACATAGTAAAATCTCTCGGGTATATTTTGGGGCAGTCTTAAAATAGTCAGCCTAATAAGGATGACTTTGTACTACTTTCTCTGTGCATGCTCATTTATCATAATTGGCAGAAGCTCTCCTAAAAAAAAAAAAGCATTTCTGATTCTGCTGCTTTCTGTGCTTGAAAATCAGCATCTCTTTGCCTGTGAGTCCCTGGCTCTCAGGCTTTGGCAATAACCCTTTAATTAGCCCAGGCCAAATAATTTGACCTTCTGTTTGCATCCACCTTCACCGCCCAGGAAGCTATTGGTCAATGGTTATTGTGTTACACTGATTCAAGTGCAAACTGAGTTGATACAACAGGGAGGAATGCCAGCAGTGTAAGAGACTGGTTATGTGGGCTTTTACTGTATGCCTGGTCTCTATTATTGCTATTAGCACTTGCTCCTTTCCTTTATTGCTCACGGTTTGTTAGCTCTCAGCAGTCACCACTCTCAAGTTCCTGCGCTCACAGTTAGGGTCGGTTACTAGCACTGTGTGGGTGAGGCAGGTGAGCTGCCTCAGCTGCTGCTTTCCTGCCTGGGGAGCTTCTCTGCCTTTCTGGCCTCGGGTCAGGGGCTGGGTGAACTGGCACACTGGAGGTCCTGCTCCCTGGGCTGCACTGCTCCTGGTACCTGGGGCAGAGTGCTTGGACCAGAACCATGTCTGTGCCCTCCTGTGTTGGCAGCTGACCTGTGGCATGGAGGGACAGGTCAGACCAGGTGGAGAGCATGCTTGCCTGTGTGTTCAGGGTATTGATCCTTCTAGGAAAAAGTGGAAGAGAAGTACCGGCCCTTGTTCTCCTGTCTTCTAGAAGCTGTGTTTGGCTTTTCGAATTTTAAATTTGTGGACTTTAGTCTGCTGTAGGAATTTTGTCTTTGAAAGTAGAGTCTTAAACAAGAGGCCTCAGCTTGTGCTGCGTATGTACTGACTTAAATAGACCAAAACTTCTGTGCCACATCAGAACTGCTGACAGTTTTCTCGGTATCTGAGTCAAATTTGTGCCTTGCAAGTGAGGGTGTGTGTGCATGTGCATATGTGTGAGTAGGGATGGGGGGAGGGGCTCTTTCCTGAGGCGAAGCACAGGAGTCAGCTTCTTTCCATGTTTCTCATCCTAAAGGGAGCATGAAGTTTAGGGTAAGCTTGTGCTTACTTCTTGCATAGATTTGCTGGCCAGTGCTCCTCTTTTGGGGGAGAGAGTGAGAATGCTGTAGAGCTGCTAGAAACATCCCCTCTTGTACAAGGCCCTACTGATGTTTTCCCCTGCTCCCCAAGCCTTTGCAGAGATGAGGTGAACTCGCTGCCCTACATTATCTGCAATCAGTCTGTGTTTGAGGGGGGGAAAGAGTTTAATTATGTAGCTGAAAGGTAGGCTGTAGGTAACCATTTAGCTGTTCTTTACCACATGTTCTCTTGAGAAGATCGGTTCTGTGCATGGTTGCAATAGGATGTAAACCCAAGCTGGCTTCCAACATGCTTTTTAAAATACTTTTTTTTAGTTGCCAATTTAGAAAGGCAAAGTATAATTTAGATCTATAGCTCTTAAATCAAGTAATCTGTTCTTCAGACTTGAAACTATATTGGTAAACTTGTACTAAGATTTTGTATAGCTAAATATGAGCCTAGAAGTCTGAAATTAAAGGGCTTATTTTCAAAAGATAGTCAGGGAAAATTAATTAACAACTTTAGAAGGTATGGAGGTGTATTAAATCTGAGACTTAAGTTTTTGTCTAGTTCTTAAGAGTAAATTGCTGTTGATGATAAGGTAGATTAATAATGGAAATTACTGAAAGTAACAATGAAGGATGTAGAAGAAAAATTGTATCCTGGTACAAACAGTATCATCAATAATTTTGATAATGGTTTGGGTTTTTTTTACACCAGGTGAGAGCAACCCTGGAAAAAGTAAGAAAGAAAATGTATGGTGAATATGATGAAATGAAGCGAAAAATACAGCAGCTTACAAATGAACTGAAAGTAAGTATATGTTCATTTGTAGGGACAGCAT